TGATCAGGTCCATCCGGTTTATGCAGATAGAACGAAAGCCCCCTCCAATGCTTTGTTGATTTCCAGGGGCCTGCAATTCAAAACATTCTTCAAAATATTCTTGATACCAAGGAGTCATATTCTTAAATTTCCTGAGCTCCTTCAACACATGTATAAGTAATTTAAACATATAGTAGATGGTGGTAAGTGCAACAAGGCCAACACATATAAACTACTATGGGGAAGAAAGAAAGATCATTTCCAGCTAGTACATATAGAAAGATTCTTTTAAGGAAGTGATTCTGCTGTACTTCAGACTTGTATATCCAAGTGGCCTCTCATCATTTCTACTTAGATGGCCCATTAAGCTCAAAATAGAATCTAGCATCTTTTCCCTAAAATATGTTCTTTCTTTCACGCTCCCAGCTCACTGGATGACACCATCCATTAAATCCACTAAGCTATGTCCTGGGAGTAATACTGAACAGTTCCTTTCTCAGAAGCCACTGCACAAAAACTGTGGCTTTCAAGATAAGGTTAAAACTCAGGTCCTTGATAATCCAGCACCTCATATAACACCTCTCACATAGTAGGTACTCAGAATGTTTTTTTAATTAATGATGGAATAAATGGATTATTGGATAGATTGGAGAAATCTGAACCTAGAAATAAAAAGACATTTTGGTCATGCGGATGGAAGAAAGGGAATTCCAACTAGAGAGAGCTCTGGCCTTGGGGACTAACTGAAAGAGAGAGAGAAAGGGAAACAGAGGAAACAGAAAGCGGGAGAGAAGGGGAAGGAAGAAAAGAAAAAAAACATTATTTTCATAAGGTTGCTTTTTGCTTTTCATATTCCTAATACATTCCTAACACATAGACTGAAACTGTTCGTTCAGTCGAATGCTAAACTTTAATTCAAATGTAATTATTCAGGAAATATCATCACACATGAATAAAACTTTCTATACAATATTACTTCTCAACAAAGACATAATTAAAAATTACCTTTAAAATAATCTTGCAGTATCTTGGACTCATACATTTGCATATATAATCTGATGAAAGATAAAAAAAAAAAAAAAAACAGGCTAGCATTTTGTTCACAAAATCTGGGTGTGTCTCCAAAATTCCTAGAATGGAAGTTGAAGAGTTAGGAGTAGTTTTTCATACCAGCCAATTTTATGCTTGGCTGTTTGAAGTCAGGCAGTGGGGGAATAATCTAGGGTAATGCTAGGTCCAATTGTTGCCAAACTAGGACCTTGGCCTGGCAGAACAATACTCTTACTCATTCTGTGTGTTAAGATTATGCAAAATATTCTACCTTTAGGAAAATTTCAATTTAATAGCAAGCAAGAATTTGAAAAAAGACTGCTAACCAAATAAATTTTTTCTTTTCCTCTTTTCTCAAAGTTTTGAGGCAGGGGAAGGGATAGCCCTAGTGTGAACATAACATATAATACTAAACCTGTTTTTAAGCACATGTTATTCCTAGAGCTATTAAAATAATTTGGCCAAATAATTAACATAAAAGACTGGTCTCCCAAAATATGCAAATTATCTCTACTTGTTAGTTCCTTTTAAACCCTTGAATTTCAATTACTTCTACAGTAGAGAAGACTCTAGAGACTGTTGTTACCCTGTAGATAGTCTGATAACCTTCAAATGACTTTCCAGGTGGTGATCAGAAAATAGAGCTTTCCTCAGGAGACCATTTATCTTCCAATAAATATGATGCACATTACAATTGCAAGGATGTCTTTTCCACCAGGGACTTTTATTCACTTACTTATCTAATGCAACATGTCAGCAGAAACCAAAGAGCGCTGATGTATTTTGTGGTTATTGTTTGGGTGTAGTAGAGTTGTGTTTATTATACTTGATGTTGTTCTAGTTTGCTTTTTTAACCTTTACCACTTTTAGTCTTGTCAAAATAGTACACTTTCACATTTACACAATCAATTTGTCCTGAGAGGGTCCTAATGAAAAACAGCCGCCCATGGATGCAACCCCTGCCTCTCTCAAGCAAGAGTCCAGCTCACTGGTGAAAACTTCACTCAAATGCTTAGGCCAGGCATCCTCAAACTATGGCCAGCGGGCCACATGCCAGCCGCCTAGCACATTTATCCAGCCCTCTGGGTGTTTTTGCTGCCGCTGCCTGTCCTCCTTACCAGCCGACTTGTCCCGGGCCCACAGTGTACTCTCCAACTGTCTGAGGGACAGTGAACTGGCCTCCTGTTTAAAAAGTTTGAGGACCCCTGGCTTAGGCACTTCTTTGGGTATTTATCATCCATTTCTAAGTAATGTACTCACGTCTTGATTATTCTCAATGTAGACATTATTAGTAGCCCCCCTTTATAAAATATAAGGATTCAATTATCTTACACAACATTTAGATGGCTGTTTTTAGAGACAGCATTAGCCAATGTTTACATGAAGGTGATTATAAAGTATTGTTCACAGAAATGCCAAGTGCTAATAAAGATCTGTGTAAATAACCTGTAAATAATTTTGTTCTATGCTCCATCAGATATCATTCGCCTCTGCCCTGACTTCTTTTTTTAACCAAATGCTTTATCATGTCAGATTGTTTGTCTCCTTTTCCCTCATGGAAACCTTTTCCTAGAACTCTCTGTCCACCTGGTCCCTGGGCCTTTCATGAGCTGCCTTCCAGAGACTTTTTACCTTCTCCCGAGATGGATTCCCTCTTTCTCAGACACCGTGATTCCTCTTTCTTTACTCCTTAGTTTACTTGCTAGTTTTGTTTGGGCATTCCAAGAAAAGATACATGACAACTAAACTTTTTGTGACCTTACATGAATATGACTTCATTCTATACTTATAATTGGCTGATGGCTTTTTGGAGCATGAAATCCTAGGTTGAAGATAGTTTTCCCTCGAAATTTTGAGTATATATTGCCTTTATCTTCTATTCTCTTTTTCTATATCTCACATTACTATGATATTGGACTTTCTGGGTAGATTTTCTGGATCTATTGGCTCTGTCTCATATTTTCTCCAACACTATTCTTTGGGTCTACATTCTAAGTGATTTCTCAAAGAAATCACTTTCAGAAGTGATTCATCTTTCAATTCTTCCATTGATTTTCAGAATCAGAATAGATTTTCAGAATCTATTACTGTCTTTGAAATGTATATGTGTGATAGGCTTTTTTTTTTTTTTTTTTTTGGATTTTCAACTCAGCTTTGCTTTTAATTTTTAATTACGGGTACATAATAGCTGTATATCTCTATAGGGTACATGGGATGCTTTGATACAGGCATACAATGTGAATTAATCAAATCAGGATAATTAGGGTATCCATCACCTCATGCATTTATCATTTCTTTGTGTTAGGGACATTCCATTCTGCTCTTAGTTATATTAAAGTACACCCTGACTTATTGTTGATTACAGCCACTTTGTTATGCTATCAAGTATTGTTCATTCTATCTAACCTATATTTTTATACCCATTAACCTTCTACAATTTATCTCCCCTTCCCCACTATCCTTCCCAGCCTCTGGTAACTATCATTGTACTCTCTGTCCACGGGAAATCACTTTTAATATTTAGCTCCCACATATTAGTGAAAACATACGATATTTGCCTTGCTGTGCTTGGCTTATTTCACTTAACACAGTGTTCTCCAGTTGCATCCATGTTGTTGCAAAGGATTCCATTCTTTTTTGTGGCTATATAATACTCTGTTGTGCTGTTGTGTATATGTACCACAATTTCTGAGAAAGAAATAAAGTGTGATAGGCTTTAAACTGCTCTTTTTGCCTAGGTAGCCAACCCTATATTCACCTAACTGTCCCCATTAATAGACAGCACCTAACACCCATTTCTTTAGGACAGTCTGATGCGACAAGGCACTCACTAAGGCCATGTCACTTATATTATGCCTGCAAAGCCTTCTGAGAGATGTTGTTCTTTTTCTGATACACAAAAAGGCATACACTCTTTGGGAACTGGTACCTTTTGTTGTTGGTATGCACTTCATCCTTCCTGGCATATTGAAAAAAGTAAGGCTTTTACTGTCCCCTTTGGCTAGGGCTCATTCTCTTGTCTCCCTACTGTGTTTTTTGAGGATGGCATGCAAGTTTAAATGCACTTTAGTTTTACTAATTGTATCAGCGAGTGTCCAGTTAGAAAAATAGAAGCCAAACCAGCTATTTTAATGACAGCAAAATCATAACAATGTAAGGAATTGTTTGTATCGAAAGACTCCAAGACAAAGAGAGAGCTTTAAGGTTACATTGAAATAGTAACTACAGGAAGCTGCTCTTAGGACTGGTGAAACTTTAGTGCAACCCTAAGGCTAAATGATAAGACCTTAAAAAAGATGAATGCATACTTCTAGTCTTTCAATGTTACAGACACTACACTTATGACCCCCAAATTTGGGCAATTTGGGGGGGGGGCAAGATAACTTAGGCAAGATAGTTTCTTTGCCTTATTAACTACACAAACATCTAGGATAATACTACAAGTGATTTCAGTGGCTCCATTATCAGACTTATTCATTAACTGTAACCATTGAACAAGGTTTACAGTTTTCTTCTCTTCTCAGGTTAGCAGAAGCACAGTTCTAGTTGTTTGAGCTTCACTCAATTGCTACAGATTGTTGTTGACTTACTTCCCTCTGGACAGAGTTTTTTTCCAGCATAGTATAAGTACAAAGAATCACCCCAAATCTTCAAAGAGAGAAAAATTTTTATTTCTTCCAAAGAGCTCACAGCAAAAGCACTCTGCGTTATTATGCTTTCTTTAGCTCAAGTAGTCTCTTCCTACTCATGAAGGACTTTGCCATTTGCCTACAGATTTCTACTTTCTCTTTCTGCCTAACTAACAGAATCCAGTTGTTCAAGATGGTGATATGCTCAGGTTAAAACTCCATTACTTAGCCTATTTTGGCAACATAGTTGTGTGAGTCATAGTTTAGGCTGATGAGATAAAAGGGGAAATCGGATTTCCTGTGGTATTCCAGAAAAGGTTGTCTTACTTTTCTCTTTGTTAGGTTCCCACCTGCAACATAAATGAGAGACTGAGGGTAGAGCTTCCACATTATAATGGTGAGATGACTGTGAAGAAGAAAATGGCACAGAAAGAATGAAACAGCAGAAAGACAAAAAGAGCATCTCTACCCCCGACCACCCATCCCAAATTTGTTATGTGAGAAAAATACACTCCCATACTTCTTTCATAGGAAATGTTAACTTTCATAATTGATACACCATTAAAAATAATGCATCCATATTATTCTATTTTAGTTCAGCCATTTTCAGTGGAACTCTTACTATGTGTGAAGCACTATTCTTACCATCCTTAGCAGTGGAGGTAAGACAAGATGAGAAATAAATGGAAGAGTATACTGACTTTCAGGACCATATGATAGAGGAGACAGGCATATAAGAATATGATTTTGATAAACAGTCTTTTAGCATCATTTGTTACCAAAACACACCCCACCCCCTTTTAGTAGCTTTGGCCCCTTGAAGTCCTGAGTGGTCATACAGTATTCTAGACCCCAGATTCCTCAGATGTTTTAATGATGGCACAATGCCTGGAGAGGCCAAACTTAATTTAGAAATATTAAAAAAGAGAAATTTTTGGAAATTTCATTCCAAGTGGACTAAGTTTAAATGACAGAAAACTATTGTGGCCAGTTAATAAGTAAGAGAGCTGGAATTCAGAGCTAGGCATTCTGTCTTCAAATCTGAACTTCTAACTCCATCACTATACTGTTTTCTCACATAGCTATTACAAGGAGGGAGACTTGCCCTAATCTGGTTGCTATAATGTCATCTTATTTTTCTTGTGAGCTCTCAGTATCCTACGTACATCTGTCCATGAACATGGCAACGTTTGCAGATAGAAGAGTACTTATTCTGTTTAGCCTCAAGGATATAACTTGAGTTTTTTTCTTCATGTCTAACATGACAAGATCAAATGAATAGCAAATACACAAAAACTCCAACATATTGATGGGGGAAAGATGAAGGTGGTATGTTTTAAGATGAAAGAGAGTACAAGTTATCACTCTGATAAATAGATAATGAAATACAGGGTTATAGAGAACTAATACAAGGCCTAACACTAGAAAATAAAATATTAACCAAACCCAATTTGACTTCAAACACTTACCACTTACTCATAAATTCCAGAGTACTTCCCATATCTGGATGAAGACTCCCTCAACACAAATGGAAATTAAATGCTTACTATAATCAAGATATAAGCTGTGGGGCATAGCAAGAGTGAATAACATCCCAAATGAGAGATCAGCTTCAAAGAATAAAAGACATTTGAATCTAACCTTCAAGGACAGATAGGAAGGTAAGTGCAGTAAGGCAGTCAAAAGACATAACAGCCTTGAGTTGTTCAGCAAAATATTTATACTTTCCATGTGCCATGAATTGTGCTAGAAATGAAAGTAGTATTGTTGTAAAGACAAGAGAGGTTCACAAAATAGATAATATTTTGATGTATCTGGAATGTAGGGTGGCAAGCATGAAATAGAAGCAGATAACTTCGGAAAGATAGAATGAGAACAGATTATGGTTAATGGAATTTCTATTCAAAGCAAACATTTTCACTTTTGTGGGTGGAATTCAAAAATTACAATGTATAAAGATCTTTGAAAGTTCACAATAAGCAAAGTAACACTGTTTAACAGAAGAAAATTACCACTGCCCAGCTCTTTCTCTCTTTAGAAATGCACTTGAATACAGGAATGCATTTATAATATAAACCATTTCTATTTCTATTGAGATGAGGAGAGAAGAGCCACCTTTTAAGAAATTTATGGAGTTTAAAATTCAATAAGCACAATGTTCCCAATGTTATATATTCTTTCTTAGCCAAAAAACAATGCCATTCAAAGTGTTCTCTGCAAGATTGACTTATATTTCTTTTATTAGGAAACATTGATTTCCCCCATTCCCAAACTTCTATGGTGCTTAAATACTATTCAGCTCATTGTTTAATCTTTCTGAAGACTTTTTAATTTACTTTTCCTATGTATTTTATTTACTTACGGAATTTAACTTTCATAAAACTACAGTAAAGATGTCCTATTGACTGCATTCTGGACTTGCACAGTTGCATTTCAGGGATGCATATGTCATGGTTCATACAGTCTGAGGTTTATTGTTGCTCTTAGATTCTAGTATTAATTGTGTTTTCAAAACCCTGAACTGAGGATGGCTTACAGAAGGAAATGACTCACAGTGTGTGACCAAAGCATTGAGGAGAAAAACTTAGCAATATTGCTTGGTCTTATTCATACAGGGAACAGTGGGGTTTTAGAAAGAAACATTGGCCAGCATGCTCACTTTTCTTTAGTGTTGAACCCTCCTTACCCAAAATTATAAAGAAGAAAGGTGGGGAGAAAGCCTGGGGGTAGAGAAGTAGCATGAGTCAGGAATCTTATATGCTTCTCACGCATGTTATGAAAAATATACTTCTATAAGCTAGCAGAGATGTGTCAGTGGGAAGCTTCTTTCTTTTGAATGAAGATAAAATGTATACTATAAAAATATGTTATACAGCAGGATAATACTTGTACTGTTATATTAGAATATAGTGGGAGAGTGAGGACTTAAAATGAGGATAAATGTCAGAAGTTTGGGACAAGGGGAGACAGTGGGGAGGGATATATGTTCAGAGCATGTAGTACAAATGAGAAGGAGCCAGAGTTGAGATCCTGGGTAAAGAGAATTTGTGGGATTTTTGGAAACTCAGCAAGGTCAGAGAAATGAATGTAGAGTTAATATTTCCTTATTTTTTCTATATCATAATCATGTAATAGTAAATGACATAACATCAAAGTGAGATTCATTTTAAAAAATTCTGCAGAGTATTAACATCATGAGGTTCAAGAATGCAGCTCTGAGAGTTTCACAGAGAATAAAGTGTATCCTATCCATAGCATCATTTCACCAACGTATGGGTGGGAAAGACTGAGAAGTATAAGTTTATGATGCTTTCAGCGGCTATCTTGGCTGACCTTGACAACCACGTGTTTTCCAACTGAGCAGAGTCAAGGACAGAGGCTGGGGTGGAGCGGTGAACCAAGAGGGCGCTAAAGCACAAGGGAGAAGGCTGACAGAGGCTGCCTGCCATTCACAATCCCACCAGCTTGTAAATAGGCATCAAACCAGATCCCAGCCAGCTCCCACTGTGCATAGCAGAGTGCTAAAAGCCTAAGGACTGCTCTTGAAAATGATAACCCTTTAGATGGAATTGCTATTTTGAAAGAAAGCATGTAAAACTAAAGTAGGACTCCAGCATCCAGGCACAATAAGCCACTCTCCAGTGGAGAAATAACAACTGCCGAGAAGATAATCCCTCCTCCCCTCACCAGTGCAATCTAAGTTGCCTCGTGGAAAAGACACTTTGCTTTTTTCTAAAAACAATTGTTTTCATCTCCAAAATTTATATATTCTGGACATGTAAATACTCTTTTGTTTATTTTTTACTTCTTGGCTGCATAGCCACACCAAGCAAAAAAGGTTGAAGCAATTATCCAAGCCTAACAAAATCACCTTTACCATAAAAATGTAAGTAATTGGAAGCAAGAGCAGATTGTTTCTTTGGTTTTATTCTGCTTTAGCTATAAGGATAATTATTTTCATTCCAAGATTTATCACAGAGAATAGAATCACTAAGTTTAAGATTTCCCTCTGAATCTGACAACATGTCTTTGATAAATTCTTTGCAGAAATAGTAATACTCTTTCCTGGTTTTGATTTTTTTGAAGGAGGTTAGTGATGATGATTTCACAATCATGATAGAGAAGGCACCAGTTCTCTTCTGCACATCATCAGCATTTTAATAGAAAATCGATTTGTAACCGGTTAATAGTTGCAAAGTTTATGTCATGTCTCTGTTGACTTCTCAAGTATATAGGCCATTAAAGATGGGGCATGGGTCTTCTGAGCTATAGAGGCACTTAATGGATATGAACAGATTGCCAAGGTGGGCCAAAATATTTTTTTAATCTCTCCTTTCCTAAAAAAGGAATGTAATGTTTTATAGTTACTTCTCAAAAAATCTCATCTTTAACCAAATTAGCCAGAAAAAAATATATATATGTAAATTATACACACACACACACATTATTCACCCAAAGACACCTTGTTGAAAATGTTAATATGAGAAAAATATCTCCTTATAAATATATTGGCCCATTTGTAATCTGAAGCATAGAAAGGATAAGCAACTTGACCAATTTGCAGCAGTTATTAAGATGCAGAGGAGGGATTTAAACCCAGCTATGTCATACCCCTAGCTTACACTTTTTAATATTAACTTATGAACAGTTACACGTAAATGTACAGGCATGAACCATGTCTCCTCTTTTTCCTCACTGTCTTTTTAAACTTCCTCAATAGGTTAGTTCTCTTCTTACTCCTGCATGAAATCTCAAACTAATTTGGTGTTTCTAGTCATAAGTGGTAGAAATTTCTCAGGCTGCTTCTAGTCCCAAGAATAGTCTTATGCCATTAATCAAAATGTCCCATGTGGTGTGATCATCAAACCTTGACCGCTAGCCAGTTCCTTCCCTTATTGCCTCTGGTCTATAGGACACAGAAACCTGGGCCAGGTCCTCAGAAATGGTGCACCTGGCACCCTCTCTCCTTTCACTACCATTTGGAAGTCCCATACACAGTTTACTGCCTATGAGTTTTTCGGGTATGAGTTGAGCAACAGTCCCTTATATTCTCATAAACTTCATGGTTCAGATATTGAGCTTGTTGATTAGTTAGTTCACTTATTCATTCAACATATATTTGCTGAGTATCTACCATTTGGGAGCCATTGTTCTTGAACTATGAACAAAATAGACAAAAATATTTGTTGTTATGAATAGATCATTCAAACCAAGAGATTTCATTTTCAAGAGTAAAATAAGTGGGAAAGGGAAAGAGAATGCCTTTATAATTATGTCAAGATATCAGGCATAAATCCATTCTGTCTCAGGTAGACCACGACATATGGTCACCCTACAGAAAGTGAATTACACAGTATGTGACTAGTATTATATATATAAAAAAATAGTATAGGATGAAGGGAAATTGGAAGAGCTAAGATGAGCATAGAGATTGCAATTTTATTTTATTTATTTTTTTACTTTAAAACATTAATGAGGAACAAATGTTTTCAGTTACATGGATCAGTTTTGTAATGCTTGAGTCACAGATATAAGTGTGCCCATCACCCAAAGAGTGTTAATTGGTAGGTTTTTGCTCCTGCATCCTTTCCTCTCCCTCGCCACTTGATTTCCACTGAGTTTTACTTCCCTCTGTGCACATGTGTGCTCATCAGTTACTTAAAATTTAATAGTGAGTACCCATGGTGTTTCTTTTTTCATTCTTGAGATACTTCACCTAGGAGAATTGTCTCCAGTTTCATCCTAATTTTTGCAGCAGGTATTAATTCAACCTTTTAATGACTGACTAGTACTCCATGGTACATATATACCACATTTTATCAATCCACTCATGGATTGATGGAAATTTGGGTTGATTACACACCTTTGCAATTGTTAATTGTGCTAAAATAAACATTTGAATGCAGGTGTCTTTTTGATAAAAAGATTTCTTTTCCTTTGAGTAGATAGGCAGTAGTGGGATTGTTGGGGATCAAATGGTAGGTCTACTTTTAGTTCTTTGAGGAATCTCCATACTGTTTTCCATAGAGGTTGTAATAATTTCCAGTCCCACCAACAGTCTAAGCATTCCTTTTTCTCTGCATCCACACCAGCATGGATGTATTATTTTTGGACATTTTTATTATTTCATCATATTATGGGGGTACAAATATTGTTAAGGTTACATATATTGCCCTTGCCACCCCTCCCCCCCAAGTCAGAGCTTCTAGCATGTCCATCCTCCAGGTGGTGCACATCGCACTAATTATGTAAGTATACACACTTCTCCTCCTCCCCACTCCCACCTGCTCTCCACCCAATAAAAGTTTTGTGGGGTTTTTTTTGACATTTTGGTTATATTTTATACCTTTGCCTCTCCCTAAGAAGGGTTAGAGGTATGCCCTTCCCCTCCACAATGCTCATTACATCCCTAAGATGTGGGTCTACCCACTCCCCGAATCCCTGGTGAAAACTACCACCATTTGAGCACCATAGTTTTAATCAGTCAGTACCAATTTGATGGCGAGTACATATGGAGCCCATTTTCCTGATCTTGTGTCACCTCACTTTGGATAATGGCCTTAAATTTAATCCAGGATAGTGTAAGCAGTGCTAGCTCGCTGTTGATTCTTAGAACTGAGTAATATTCCATTGTAAATATATACCGAATTTTGATTATCCACTCATGAATTGATGGGCACTTGGGTTGTTTCTATGTCCTTGCAATAGTGAATTGTGCTGCCATAAACATTTGGGTGCAGATAGCCTAACAGTGCTATTGCTGGGTAGAATGGTATTTCTATATCTAGCTGTTTGAGGTATCTCCAAATTCTTTTCCACAAAGGTTGCACTAATTTGCAGTCCCACCAGTAGTGTAAGAGTGTTCCTGTCTCTCCACATCCTCGCCAGCATTTGTTGTTTTGGGATTTCTTGTTACAGGCCATTCTCACTGGGGTTAGGTGATATCTCATTGTAGTATTGATTTGCATTTCTCTGATGATTAGAGATGTTGAGCATTTTTTTATATGTTTGCAGGCCATTATTCTCTCTTCTTTGGAGAAGTTTCTGCTCATATCTTGATGAGGTTGTTTGATTTTTTCTCGTTAATTATTTTGAGTTCTAGATAGATTCTTGTTATTAGACCTTTATCAGAATTGTAGAGAGCAAATATTTTCTCCCATTCTGTGGGTTGTCTACTTGCTCTAACGATAGTTTCCTTGGCTGTGCAGAAACTTTTTAATTTGATCAGATCCCATCTGTTTATTTTTGATGCAGCTGTGATTGCCTTGAAGGTCTTCCTCAAAAATTCTTTGCCAAGGCTAATGTCTGATAGGGTTTTCCCAACATCTTCTTCTAGGGTTCTTAAGGTTTCATGCCTTAGGTTTAAATCTGTTATCCATCTTGAGTGGATTTTTGTGAGAGGTGAGAGGTAGGGATCCTCATTCGCTCTTCTGCATGTGGCTATCCAGTTTTCCCAGCACCATTTATTGAAGAGAGATTCTCTTTCCCATTGTATATTTTTGTCTGCTTTATCAAAGATTATGTTACCATATGCAGATGGTTTCATCTCTGTAATCTGAGTTCTATTCCAAATATCGATGCTTCTGTTCTTGTGCCATTACCAGGCTGATTTAATTATTATTGCTTTATAGTACAGCTTGAAGTCAGGAAGACTAATGCCTCCCCGTTTGTTTTTTTTAATTAAAGCTGTTCTAATAGGGGTGAGGTGATATCCCATTGTAGTTTTAATTTGCATTTCCATGATGATTAATGATGTTAAATACATTTTCATGTGTTTATTGGCCATTTGTCTATCTTCTTTTGAAAAACTTCTGTTCATGTCTTTGCCCACGTTTTAATGGGTTTATTTGTTTTTTTCTTGCTGATTTGCTTGAATTCTTTGTATATTCTGGTTTTTAGCTGTTCATCCAATGTATAGTTTATGAATATCTTCTCCCATTCTGTAGGTTGTCTTTTTGCTCTGTTGATTGTTTCCTTAGCTGTGCAGAAGCTTTTTAGTTTAATCAAATCTCATTTATTTATTTTAGGTTTTGCAGTGATTGCCATTGGGATCTTATTCATAAATTCTTTGCCTAGGCTAATACCTAGAAGAGTTTTTCCTACATTTCCCTCTAGAATTCTTATGGTTTCATGCCTTGCATTTAAGTCTTTTATCCATCTTGAATTAATTTTTGTGAGTAGTGAGGGATAGGCATCCTGTTTCATTCTTCTGAATGTGACTATCCAATTTTCCCAGCACCATTTTGTTGAATAGGGCTTCTTTTCCCCAGCATACAGTTTTGTTTGCTTTGACAAGCATCAGTTGGCTTGTGGGTAAGTGGTTTTATATCTGGGTTCTTTGTTTTGTTTCATTGGTCTATGTCTCTATTTTTGTACCAATACTATGATGTTTTGGTTACTATATGTCGTAGTATAGGTTGAAGTCTGGAAATGTGATGCTTCCAGATTTTTTCGTTTGTTTGTTTTGCTTTGTTTTGATGTTCTTTTTATTTTTGTTTTGCTTTAGATCACTTTGGCTATTTAGGCTCTGTTCGGGCTGCAAGTGAAAGGTAGAATTATTTTTTTTAGATCTGTGAAGTATGATGTTGGTGTTTATATGAGATTGAATTGAATCCATAAATCACTTTGAATAGTATGGACATTTTAACAGTGTTGATTTTGCCAATGCATGAGCATGATATGTTTTTCCATTTTTTTCATCCTCTGCAATGTCTTTCCCCAGTGTTTCATAGTTGTCCTTGTAGAGATCTTTCACCTCTATAGTTAAGTATATTCCTAGGTTTTTCTGTTTTCTTTGTTGCTATTGTGAATGTTATTGAAACATTTATTTGACTCTCGGCTTGACTC